TTTTTTTTTTTTTTTTTTTTTTTTTTTTTTTTTTTTTTTTTCACAACATCTTTGAGCAGCCCGGTAACCTGGCTGGGTATCGGTCTTTTTGCCCTAGCTGTACACAGAGCTCACTGCAATACAGTAATACCCCTTTAATTTACTTTCTGGCTAAGTTTGTAAACCTAATTTATCTATGGTGCAAAATTAAAAAAAAAAAAAAAAAGGTCGCTCTTTTGGGCCCAACACATAATTATTATTGGGCCTAGCAAAGGACAAAGAATGCAGCTCCAACATGCCACTGGACAAAACCTGAAGTTCCAGGTGCAAAACAGTCCAAAAAAGTACATGTAATCCTTAAAATCGGTGCCATAAAATATATAAATAACTGGTGCAATACATAAGCAAAAACTGTGTGAAATGTATTCACTTATTGTCCAATATATATTTTAAAAAATCCTACAACAATACTCAAACTTTTTATGATGTGAAATTAATGTAAACAACAATCAGTTATGTTTGGTTATAGACCGATGACAAACAACTGTGCATTAGTGTAGAATATTAGATCTTCTGCTGTCTATGATGACATCAATAATAATCGGAAGAGAGCTGAACTGGATGACAACACTGAATCATCAATGAACTGACCTTAGCTGGAAAAATGACTGTCATTGTCTTGCATTATCGACAAGCTATTTTCCTGTTTGTCACTGTAAAGCTGCTTTGACACAATCTATTGTATAAAGCGCTATATAAATAAAGGTGACGACTTGACAGAGTAATAAAGCTATGAGAAAAATCCCTCACTGCTCTTGATACTGAAGACACTGTTTATTGCGTGCAATGTTTCTTTTTCCTTAGGGAATATTTTCTTGCATGTTTTGAAACTCTATTTAGTTAAAAATTAAAACACTCACTACATAAAACTGGAATTAATGTGTTGAGAACAAATTTCTGTTTTTGTCTGTAGAGCTAGCTATTTGATTTAAATGAGATGATAAATCACTGTTTTAACTAGAACTTCACAAATCTATATTTCCGGATGACAACACTGAATCATCAATGAACTGACCTTAGCTGGAAAAATGACTGTCATTGTCTTGCATTATCGACAAGCTATTTTCCTGTTTGTCACTGTAAAGCTGCTTTGACACAATCTATTGTATAAAGCGCTATATAAATAAAGGTGACGACTTGACAGAGTAATAAAGCTATGAGAAAAATCCCTCACTGCTCTTGATACTGAAGACACTGTTTATTGCGTGCAATGTTTCTTTTTTCTTAGGGAATATTTTCTTGCATGTTTTGAAACTCTATTTAGTTAAAAATTAAAACACTCACTACATAAAACTGGAATTAATGTGTTGAGAACAAATTTCTGTTTTTGTCTGTAGAGCTAGCTATTTGATTTAAATGAGATGATAAATCACTTTTTTAACTAGAACTTCACAAATCTATATTTCCATATATATATATACATTTCAGTCAGGTCCACCTCATCAAAGTATATTTATTACAATTAAGTCAAGTCAAGTCACCTTTATTTATATAGCGCTTTTAACAATACAGATTGTGTCAAAGCAACTGAACAGCATTAATTAGGAAAATAGTGTCAATAATGCAAAGTGACAATAGTAAACACTCATTTTTCAGTTAAAGACAGTTCATCATTGAATTCAGTGATGTCAACATCCAGCTCAGTTTAAATAATATCTTTGCAATCGTGTCAACGATTGCAAAGATCTTTTACATTTTTAACACACTCTGTTAGCTTAGATAATTTAGAAGTTTCACAATTATATAGCATACAGTTAGTGTTGGCGGTATGGTTCTGTTCTGGGCAAAACTCACTTCACAATTTACATGAGTTGTAGAAATACAAAATACATGATAGAGAATGCTTTCAATAGTGAACTGTATAGAAGAAGAGAGGGGGGGAAAAACTGATTCGATTACAGGTTAGGTGGATTTGGGGTTGGAGGAGGGAGTTGATTTGCGAGCAGCGATGTGATAGAAGAGATGCTGGAGAATGGGAATTTAAATGGACCACTATGATAAGTGTCAAAAAACTGGATTGGTACACGTCAGGAACAGCTGATGTGAGCTTGACTGACGTGACCTGCCTGAACTAATGCAATGCTTGATATATACACACACACACACACACACAGAGAGAGTATATATATTTTTAAAGTTTGCATATGTGTTTTTTTGTGGAGTATACATATTTGATACATCAGGGCCCAGTTGTTCAAAAGTAATCTGATCAAATTTTGGATATCGGATTGGAACTTGAAACTCAATTAGACAATAGTAATGTTTGTTTATTAAGTGTGTTTATTAATTTAGAGGCCTTAGAAATTTGTGTATCAATTAGGACTCAGTAGGATTTATAGGGTTAATGATATTATTAAACCACTATATGAATATTTCTATGCTGATGTCACAATTGCTTTGTGTTATAAATGATTTAAGGAAAAGAATATAAAATTGATTTATAATAATTTGAGATCTTTATTTCAGACCATAGTAAATCAGCAAGTGAAATCCATATGAAGACCCACCCCAGAGCTAGGCTCTCTATGCAAGTCTAACGTTCCAGTAAATCATTCCAATTTTTCTATAATCTAATCTTCTAAGCATTCAAAAATGTGTACCACATTTTTTGAACCTTCATCTAGGTTCTCGTTTCCCATTCCTCAGCAATAGCGGACCCCACTCTTGCACTCTTGCAGCAGATCTACCTAAAAAACTATGCGCAAGTGTTCCTAGGACAAAAGCTGTTTTAAATGTAATGGGTGGCCATACCAACTGTTGATTTTATCTAGTTAATAGAAATTAATTGATAAATAAAATCCATTTATGACATTATTTTTGAAAGCATCCTCACTTTACATCATTTTTGCACAAGTGACTAAAACTTTTCACATTACTGTAGTTTTGTTTCTTGAAGTGTCTTGGAAACGTTGCCACAGTTCTTCTGGATTTTGTCTGTCTTATTTTTTTCTGATTCTTCATGTCATTCCAGACAGACTGGATGATGGTGAGATCAGATCTCTGTGTGGACCACTGGCTGCTGTCATTCTCCTTGTGCATACAAAAATCTCACTGGATTATTACAATTAATGGCAAAAGGAATGTTTGGAAATGTAAACTGATATCTCCTAATGACACACTACAGCAAATGATAGATAGCTGGCTTAAAACCCTTTTTTTGTTGTTGGTGAAAATATTAGTGGCCTGAAACTTTTGCACAGCAGTGTATATACAACTGCAATCAAAATTATTCTGCAAGATGATCTGCAAGACATTTTGCTGCAGAGAGCAACATTTTATGAAAACAATTCAAAAAAAGGCATCAGTGAACTATTAGAGAAAGTTTCTTAATACACATTTAAGTGATTCTGAGAATGTAACATTGATGAATCATGATAAAAATCAAATTGGCTCTAAACATTCATGTTCAAAATTATTCAACCCCCAGATGTCAAATTTTGTGCAGAATCTTTTGTTCTTTAAAACCGCCTAAAAAGCCTGCCTAAAAGTGCTTAAAAGCTTCTGAGACTGTCTACTGCAGTCTTGGCTCATTCCTCGGAAAAAGCTTTTAGATCACTGATAATCTTTAGTTTTCACATTGCCACTGCTTTCTTCAAATTCAAAAAAATATTTTCAATGAGAGTTAAGTCTGGAGACTGAGCAGGCCACTCAAGTACATCCTATGACTGATCCCTGAATCAAGCGTAAGCACATTTGGATGTGCACTCTGGGATGGCTGTCCTGCAGGAAAGTCCATTGATCATCAGCTTCCTTCTTTGCACCAAAGACATCACAATTCTTGCCAAAATGGCCTGATACTTCAAAAAATCCATGATGTCCTTCATACAGTCAAGATTTTCACTTTCTGCAACAGCGAAACTCCCCTGCAACAGGACCGGTCCATCTCCATGTTTGACCATAGAGATGGTATTCTTCTGCTTATAAGATTTGCCGTTTTTGCACTAGACATACCGCTGATCCATGGGTCCAATACATTCCAGTTTGGTCACATCACTCCATAAAAAATTCTCCCAAAACTCCACAGGTCTATCCAAATTAATTTTAGCATGTTCAAGTCGGCCTTTTATGTTCTTCTTGGTCAAGAGTGGCATTCGGCAAGATGCCCCAACATGAAGGCCATACTTGTCTAGTATTCTTCTTTTACTCTGCATTGAAATGTTTTCCTCCTTTCATCAGGTCATCTTGCAAGTCTTTGGCTGTGCATTGCAGGTTTTTCTCAGTTGCTCTGATCAAATTTATTATGATAATGTGCTTTTTCTTCAACACCCTCAAAACACCGCTAAGGAAGAAGGCTGACAGCTGTGTCTCTAGGAACTTTTAATGTCTTGGAAATCTTCATGTGGCCTTTTGAGAGAGCTCTGTTGAATTTGCATATTTGCTACTCACGTCAGCACATGCGTGGGCTAAGTTTATGTATGTGTAACAGCTCAAGCTAATTCTGTTTTTTAATCGAGTTTCTAAAGGCTTAATTGTGTTTTAACACAATTTTGTTCCCCACCATACAGTGACATACAGCAATGTTGAATAGGGGTTGAATAATTATGACATAGCTGTGTTATTAAAGAAATCCTAGAAACTCAAAAATATTACATTACATATTGACATTATCACTTTTAATATGCCAGTAAACTGTTACAGATGCAA